CTGATAAGCTCAAATGGGGACACCAGAAAGGTGTTTATACAGTCAAGGAAGGGTATCAACAATTGTACTCTAAAAACCCTGTGATAGCTAACTGGCTCTGGAAACTCATTTGGAGGACCAAGCTACCACCTAAGGTAGTTTTTTTTACCTGGATAGCTCTATATGAGGCATGTCTCACCCAAGACAACATAAAGAAAAGAAAAATCCAATTCCCAAACAGATGCTATATGTGCAAAAAAGAGGCTGAAACCCCCAGACACCTTCTTCTTCATTGTGAGGTGGCCTCAGAATTATGGAGCATGTTTTTTTGTCTCTCTGGCATCAATTGGACCACACCCCTCACTGTTAAGGATGCATATGAGAGTTGGAGTCTATGGAAAGTTGACAAAGCCATCAAGAAGATCTGGATTATGATACCTGCTTGTATTTTTTGGTGTATTTGGTTAGAGAGGAACAAGAGATGTTTTGATGGAGAGTCAACTGCTTTAGGCATTTTGAAGACTAGGTGCACTGAAAATTTGTTTAGTTGGACCAACTTGTATCCTGCTGTTAATGCAGAACAACTTCAGGATTTTACTAACTCATTAGCTCTGGCTTAGATAGTTTGTATAGTTAGCCAGAGATTTTTTGTAAGCTCAAATGCCATATCTTGTAAATTTTGCATCTTCCCGATGCTGTTATTAATACCACTTATCTTATCAAAAAAAAAAAGATTCCAAGGACAGAATGAACAGGTATGGTGAGAGTGGATTGCCTTGTCTTAAATCCTTATGTGTAGGGAAGTAATCTTCACGTAAGCCATTGGGAATAATAGATATTCTGACAGTGGAGATACAATACTTGATCAATTGTATCCATTATGCTCCAAACCCATGGAATCAATAAGCTTGAGGAGGAAATCCCACTTAACACTGTCGAAAGCTTTCTCCATATCTTATTACATACAACCTCAGATTTCCCCCCTTCTGATAATGGTCTAAACACTTATTAGCAACCAGCACAGCATTGGCCAATTGCTTCCCTTTGATAAATGCGTTTTGCTTACTAGTTACAAGCTTGCTAATAACCACTTTCAATCTTTCTGTAAGCACCTTTGAAATAATTTTCTCCTGCAGGCTTATAGGCCTGGAATCTTTTATTTCCACTGCTCCTTCTTGGGATTGGGAGTAATAAATGTAGCATTTGAACTTCTCTTCATTCTGCCTTCCGGATGAAACTGTTCCAAGGTTTTAAAGATGCATCCCTTAGGATATGCCAACATCTTTGGAAAAAGGCCATCTGATATCCATGATACATCTTTTGGGGAAGGCCATCTGAAACCCAATCCTCAAATAGCAGCTAGCTCCTTATTGGTGACAATGAGCGCTATCTTAACAGCGGAAAACCCGAGGAAGAAGAGGACCCATGTCAGTTGGTGCTTTATGTGCGAGAGTGAGGGTGAGCATGTAGATCATCTACTATTGCATTGTAAAGTGGCTAATAGATTATGGAGGGTGGCCCTTTAATTTGTTTGGGATGCAATGGGTGATGCCGACCTCTATGAAGGAGGCTTTGCAAAGTTGGACTCTTATGAGAGAGAAGAAAAACCCATGTGAATGGAGAGTGCCCTCCTTAGCAATCATGTGGGTTATTTGGAAAGAGAGAAATAAAAGGGCTTTTGAAGGTGTGGAGCAAGCTTTTTTCAATTTGCAAAGTAGTTTTTTGTCTCTAGTTTCCTTCTGGTGTACTTTCGAGGTCCCTCTATGTATAGAGGATTGGACCTCTTTTGTTGAGAACCATATTATGGTGTAGGCCCTCTTTTTTGGTATATGGATTGTATGCAAGGTTGCCACAATATAAAATTATTTACCTTATAAAAAAAATCAGCCAGCTCTTTCCAAAGAGTTTTTCTTGCTTTCCTTTACATGGCGCATAGACTCGAGTAAAGGTCATTCCAGCTACACACTTTTATCGTCTTTTTTTAAATCTAGGATGCTTCCTTCCTCGGCTACCAACTTTGAGTCATTAACATAGTTGGTGTCCAATGGTAATACGTTAGTGTTCTCTTTCATTATGCTCTGGGTAATATTAATTTGCCTATGTGATGGCTGGTTGTAGATTAGTAAATATCATAAGTGGATGGCTTATTGGAGTATGCACCTTCTTTGTTTTGTCATCCACCATTTATTTCCTTTTCTAACACTTGAACTTGAAGACCGGCGATGACTAACTAGCTAGTTGTTAGTGTTAGTTTACTATCCTCTTAGTGTTGGTGTGTTTCTGTCATAGCTGGTATACTTGAAGTTTCTATCTAATGTATAATTTTAAGCGCACTCACACATATTTCTTTTACTTTCTGTATAAAAGGTATGCAGCAATTTTTGCTGCTTTTGTTGCTGGCATGGCATGTTTGGTTGGGATGGACTTTGGCGCAAAACTTCTGGCATCTATGGCTAAATGTTTTGAGGTATTGACACATTTACAAGTGGTAATTTTATGGATTGAACACTTACATTCGAATAAAAGGAGAAGTAATTTTATCCTGGGAGCAGTTAATCTTCTTTTAGTCGATGTAATATGTTCTGATATTTTCTCCAAAAAAATTGTTCTGTTATATGCAGTAGTATTTAAAAGCATTGGTTACTTGCCCCGTCTCATATAACATTGACATCAATGTTTAGTAACTTGTTGTATGTTTTATTTAGGATGAGTATCAGAATGAAGATAACCTCTCTGTTAGGAACCTGACACTTCTGCTCTCATACTTGTACACTTTTGGAGTTTGCTCAAGGTAAGCACTATATTTGAATTGACTACTCTCTGACTTGGATTGTTAGGTGGACAACCTTGGCATAGTACATATGCCTACATATCTCCTTTGTCTTCTATGGTGCTTTCCTTATATATGATTTCAGGTCTAAATTCTACTATCAGAATTACTTAATGCATATAATTCACTAATCCAGACAAGTCCTCCATAATTGCTTCCTGAAAAGAGCAATGTGGAGAAATATGGCTGTTATACTTACAACGTTATACACGTAAAGCAAATGCCTTACTCTTTATCTCCCTCTAACCCTTCCTCACAAAAAAAGAACAAATGGTAGTAGAAAAGCAGCAACATTGACAGACTTATCTCCTCCCCACCTCTTTCCCTTCCTTGCATGCCTTGTATGTGCTACCTTAATAATTTATGAAAGTAACAAAAAGGAGTACCATCTTACTTGGCTCTCAAAACAATAACCACAACTGCAGTGAATTTTGGTAACTTCTGTCCTCTTTTTTTTTTTAATTATTATTTATATTTTAATCATGATATGAATCCCTGTAGAAGCAAGAACACTAATCTACAGCTAATTTCATATATTTGAACCCTCATTAATTTAATTATATTTCTTATGCTTCTTAGTGACTTGATTTATGATTTCTTGGTGACATTGAGCAAGAGACTGACAGAAGTGGATGTTTCTACCATATTGACAGTGCTTCAAGGTAATAAATTTACCTTAAAACTTGGTCTTTCTTTGTTGGAATGATCGGTCATCCAAGTATTTTCTCCTTCTTTACTCCTGCCCCATGTCTGTTCCCTATTCCAGAGAAATTTCAACAAATTATTCATGAGTTGCTAGGTGCTGTTAATTCAAGGCCTCAACTTATTCCCCTTTATTGCTTGTAGCATATGGTTTTTCTTTTCAACACACAAATAAGTTGTTTTTCTAAATCAGGCAATTAATTTCTAATTTAAAAAAGGAACTTGTGTTTTGCTAACTTTTGTATGCTTCAAATGTGACACTAAGCCAGTGCATTAGGCATAATTACAGGTTGTGCAATCCCTCTATTGTGTCTAACATTCCATCTACATCATTTACAATAACCAGATTGCACCAAGTTTCTTTTCAAATTCTGACTAGTCTGAATATTAAATGATTCTTCGTGTATGTGCTTTTACTGAACAGCTTGTGGGATGAAATTGAGAGGTGATGATCCCGTTGGCATGAAGAACTTTATAGTTAGCGTTCAGAATAGGGTGAATGAATTGAAATCATCATCTGGGGAAGGACAATCAAACAGTATGGGGAAAAGGGTATGTTAATGCTTTCTTATGCAGATTGCTTCTTATTCTGTCTCTGCTAACCACATAATTTCTGGAACCACATTAATCTATATTTACACATACTGGTTTTGTGACAGATGGAATTCATGCTTGAGATGATATGTGATATCAAAAACAATAAAAAAAGGATGAAGGAGGACACCTTGCAGCTTACCCGAGTAAAGAAATGGCTACAACAGGTGCTTGTTGGATTCAGCTGTTTTGGTCAAATAATTATCTATTGGCACAATATAATCATTTGATCTGGGGTGCCCTGTGTAAGGTTGTTTTCATCTATCTTATAAAATAGACACGGTAGTCTTCCTCAGGAAATAATAAAGATAGGTTTTGACCAGTCACGCAACACTCTCCTTCAATTGCAACCGAGTTAGAATATGAAGATTAGAAAAATGAAATAACCGTAAACTATACCTTGAGATTGCTATGGAAAGTCGTGTGAATTAAGCAAGCATTGAATGTTCTACTCCTCTTCTTATTGTTATGGGTGTAATTGTCTCTAATCAGTGCTTATATGAGATATTGGAGAATGGTTGACCCCTCGGATGGGATTAGGCTTAGGGGCTTTCTAGTTTTCTCCTACAAATTCTCAACTCTCTAACTTGCTTTCACTCTCCAATTGCCAAATTATCACTAGTTATGTATGGTTAACCAAATCCTTTATTGCTTCATTCGAGAAATAAGCTGATTCCTTTGAATGATGGGTGTCTTTTATTTATTGAGAAAAAAGGTATTGTTTTATCCCTTCATTTGTTAGGGACGATCACTCTTCTAAGGTATAGTTAATAGAAAGCTCTTCTTTCTGAGCCATTATCTAGATGGTTCAACTGATCCCCCCTCCCCCCTCTCTTCTAGTGTCTTTATTTTCGGAACAACAAATTTAGTTCTTGCTTATGAGTACTAAAAGATCTCATGTTTTACCTACTGTATCCGATAGGTTAATTAAATCCGTATGTGGGATTTTTGGGAAATTGTTTAAATGCTCCTGGACTGATGTTTACTCTTGATTCTTAACAAGATATTCAATCAAGAAATATAATCCACATATTACGTCCAATCTTTATTGCACTTAAATGCAAAATTTGGTGTGTTGTATTGAAGATAGCGTTTTAAATCTAGTGAAAATGTGCTGGCTTTCACACTAGCGGAACTAATACATATATATTTGTTGATCAAGTAATACAATTGCAGAACATTATTTTTGCAAGATTCGGTAGTTCTGCGGAAGATAAACATGGAGGGCCAAAGATGTTATAGTACATAGTTTCGCTACTATGCTTTTGTTATTTCGTTAGATAAAAACAATAAATGATGGTAGTTAGCTGCCAAATTTCATGAAATTTGAAATTCCTTAGATCATCACTCTACATTGTCTCATCATTTCTATCATCCTTAGCATGCTAATCTCTTCTTGTTTTGTGCTTCGGGTAATCTTACTTGCAGCTCAGAGTAGTTGATATATTGATTCGAGGGTTAAAGTGGAGCAAGCTGATTGATCCTGACAAGAGAGGCCAGTGGTGGATGTCTGGGAATATTGATTCCACAACTGATGTTCAAGATGTTGCCAGCACAATTGATTTGGAGGTCACTGAGGCTCAAAAGATGCTCCAGCTTGCTGCTGCTCAGAGGATGAATACAGATGCAAGAAGGGCAATTTTCTGCATAATAATGAGTGGGGAGGACTATATTGATGCATTTGAGAAACTTCTAAGATTGGATTTGCAAGGCAAGCAGGTTGGCAGCTGTTGGTTGAATTCCCTGCTATTCATTGTTGTGCTTCCAGTGTGCAAATTCTTTAATATTTATACATGCAGGATAGGGAAATCATGAGAGTTTTGGTAGAATGCTGTTTACAGGAGAAGGCTTTTAACAAATACTATTGTGCTCTGGCTTCCAAGTTATGCAGCCATGATAAAAACAATAAGTTCACCCTGCAGGTATGCCTTCTGCTCAAATGCATCTTGGGAAGTTATGTTACACGGTCTTCTGCACTCGGCAAAGCTGGGGGACAAAAAGTTCATTTATTACATTTCCTGATTTCTAGAAAGGGAAAAATTATATCTCGGGTGTATTTAGTATGACTGGAAAATATTTTTCAATTTTCTCATGTTTGGTTGGTCAAGATATTATAGAAAACATTTTCTGTAGGAAATTAGGAAAAGGACTTCCTTTCTAGTAGTAGGGAAAACAAGTTCCATAAGTGGCATTCCACACTAATTGTCTCCTCCCGGGTCACGCCCCACCTCCACACCATAGTGATTGTCTAAACTATATATAAATATTCTTGGGACAATATTTCTGCTTGCTTAACAGACACCAGAAAATAAGTAAAAAAACCATTTATTTTAAATAATTTCCCTCATACAAATACACCCCTCATCTTGTCACATGTCGGGTAAAGGAGAAGAGGAAAAGACAAATGAAGTGCTTCTTACACTATATGAACAGTGCAATTTCTTGTGATTTCTGCTTGCATTTGATGCAATTAGAGCTCAAAGTCAATTTCTGACATGTGACACAAGTTAATAGTGGGTTAAATTGAGACATCCTTGTGGTTCAAGAATTTCCTTGGCACATAAAATTATATTTTGTAATCATATGCTCATTTTGGGAAATGGAGGACGGATATGATGAGACTATGCACAGACACAGTTTTTACTGTTTTTCTCTCACACACCATTGGTCCTCGTTTTCCCTTTTTATCAGAGCGGCCAAAATCATTATGCTCTGAGAATCATCTGATATATGGTACTCACATATTATTTGAGATCATATGCTCATTTTAGCTGTGGAGGATGAATTTATAAGACTATATACAGATAGTTTTCTCTTTCTCTACACCATTGGTTCTCATATCCCTTTTTATTGGAGTGGTCAGAATTATCATGCTTGAGAATCATTTGAAATATGGTACTCGCATGAACTGATGGTTGCACCCAAGAAAATTACATGCGCTAACCTCCTAAAAGTAGTGCAATTTTATTATGTATGTATAGTTCCAAAAGCACTGTATTATACTTATCTCAAAACCATAACCATGCTAATCCATTGTTACTTGCAGTACTGTCTGTGGGATCATTTCAAGGAGCTTGATCAGATGCAGCTGATCAGATCAATGCACCTATCCAAGTTTGTCGCAGAGATGGTTGCTTCTTTTAGCCTTTCACTTGCTGTATTGAAGGCTGTTGATCTCAGTGATTCTTCACAATTGACTGCAAAAAGAATCATGCACTTCCGGATGCTATTTGAGAACATCTTGGAGTTTCCTGAAAAGCTTGTCTGGAACATTTTTACTCGAATTGCTCTTTTGCCAGAGTATGAATCACTTCGTGATGGGATTGTCTTCTTTATCCGCAAGTATGTCATTGATGGCCAAAAGTCTCTGGCAGATAAATTCAAGATTGCAAAGAAGGCTCTTAACAATGTTGAAGGAGTCATCATGTGAGTCTTTGCATGATGTATTCGAGATTTAGGATTTTGCAGGAATGGTTATTGTTGTTGGAACAACAGTAACCCAGTTTTGAGGTTGAGTACTATGTACTTTATTACATGCATTGTAAGTGAACATTATTTAGGACCTTGGGGATTTGATTGCTATTGCAACTCTACTGTAATTTATTTAGTTAAATTTGACATCTTCTCTTTAATTAATATTTTGGGAATTAATTGGTGTATGTCATAAAATACTGTGAGTTTTTCTTGTTTCATGGCAAAAATGGTTGCCCCTTAGCTTCTGACTTTGTATGATGGATTATTTGGAGGTAAAGAAATGCAAGAGTTTTTATTTTGGGGTTTACAACAAATAGAATATCATTATTAGCCTTAAACTTAAGGGGTCGTTTGATTGTGCGATGGGATAGGTTGGGATATTCCCCGGTTTGGGATGGTTCATAAAATTATTTTATCCACCCTTCTATATGGAATAATTTATTCCATCATTTACACTAAAATAGTTGAATAAAATAATTTGAGATCAAGTAATACTCATTATCAAACACAAAATAAAATAATTTTGTGATATATTCCAAGATTTATTATCTTTATATATCACCAATTAAACAAATATCCATTTGCTTAGTCTTTGGTGCAACAAGGATAAGGCAAATTTTGTTAGAATCGGGTGCCTGCTTTCTTAAAGAATATCACAAAATCTTTTTTTTAACTAAGAATATTACAAAAATCTCTTGGAATATATTTAACTAAATCAGCAATTAGGTCATGACTAATGGGCTGCCACTCAAAGCATTCCTATTAGCCAAGGTAAACCTAAATTAATACTGCGTTAGATTATAAAACATCCTATAAAATATTAAGACGAGAGAAGGATTTTTAAAAAGTCATAAATTCATTGCAATCCAAAGAGAATAAGATAAACTTTGATGAATAAAAAAGAATTAGTAGAAATTCTCATAGGCAAAACAATTCAAATCTGTTTTCAAACAAAAAAGATTAAAAAAATATACAAATTAATAATACCTTCCTTTATATTTATAAAAAGAAAAGATTATATCCAATAGCATAATAACTCACTTCTTCAAATTTATTCACGATGAATATAAAATTGTAGGTTTGATACAAAAAGTCATTTTTATTTTTGAGCGGCTTAGATTTTTATTTTAAAAAAAAAAATTAACAATAACATTAGCAAAGTAGAAAAATACTATAATAAAACTTTTAATTACAAAAACTATCAATAATGTTCAAGTATACATATAATATGAAGTTAAAAAAGAGCTATAAGTAAGGTGTAGAAAACATTTTTTTTTTCAGTTTCAATGAAAAAAGGCTTTTCTTCAAAAATAGTTTTTCATATTGGCATAATTATAATGTTTGAATGGAAGCATTAATGTTGTTAATTTGTAACAGTCATTTTTTATTAATGGAGTATTTAATATTACATCTCTGTCAACACCACGTCTGAATATAAGCATTTTATCATTTTATATTTGAAAGGATGGATGAGGGTTTCTATTGACGGCTCGACTTGGCGTTGTATTGCCTTAGCTTTACCCTACTACAGAGCTGCCACACTCCCTTCTTCCGCCGCCTTGCTGCTTCCTCCGTCGCCGGCGGTGAGTAGACGGCTGTTTAATTTCACACGTAGCTTTTCTGTTTCAACGCCGATGGGTTCTCAGCCGGAAGTGTTGGATTGGCCGGCCAATAAGGTCCGGGAGACTTTTATCAGCTTCTTCCAAGGGAAAGATCATAAAGAGGTTCAATCCAGTCCTGTAGTTCCTCATAATGACCCTACTCTTCTATTCGCTAATGCTGGTTCGTTTTTCATTCACTATTGTACAGTACTTGAAATGTTTTTTTTTTTTTTGGGGGGTTGAATGGATAAAGTTTGTTTTTTTGTGCAGGAATGAATCAGTTTAAGCCTATTTTCTTGGGTATTGTTGACCCTAATAGTCCGTTGAGTAAACTTAAGCGTGCCTGCGATACACAGAAGTGTATTCGTGCTGGTGGAAAGCATAATGATCTTGATGATGTTGGTAAGGATACTTACCATCACACATTCTTTGAGATGCTTGGTAATTGGTCATTTGGGGATTATTTCAAGAAGGAGGCAATTGGATGGGCCTGGGAACTCCTTACCCAGGCAAGTTTTATCCTCATTAATAGTTAGTAATGTTCTTGTACATAGTCAGTTGCGCTCCTTGCATATATGCTGTTTGATCAAGAAATGGTAGGATGCTGACTTGTACACGTGTTTCCCCTTGTTTGATGATTTTCGTCCAGGTATATAGACTGCCAAGTGAACGGATTTATGCCTCTTATTTTGGGGGTGATGAAAAATCTGGCCTTCCAGCGGATAATGAAGCTAGAGACCTATGGCTTAAGTTCCTACCCCCTAGCAGAGTGCTGCCTTTCGACTGCAAAGTATGTTATTGCACTGTATCTCCAATTCTGTCATCTTGCTCAAATTCATCATTTTCTGTTTGGCGCATTAGTAATTAATTAAACTGAATCTTCAATGAGGTAATTTTCTTAGTATACTTGGTGTTTTTGAAACCCGTGAATCTTATTGAATCTTTAGAAGCATGTTCAACTTTGTGGACCTCTCAATTTGGACAAATTTTTCTATGATGTGAGGTAGGGGCAGTGATAAGTGTCATTTTTGCTGATAAAAGAAGCAAAAATGTGGTACTTATCATTCACAAGTGGAGAAGAGCATCATATTCATTCGCCTTGTAAACATTGAGTATCCTTTTTGCTGATAAGAAAATCAAGAAGTTGTGTTCATCATGTAGGTGGAGAAGGGTCAAGAAGAGGGGGGGGGGGTTAATCATTGAGTTGTGGAATTTGAAATAACTAATTCCCTCATTTAAAAAAACAGGAAAAAAAGAAAAAAAAGAAGCAACTCAAATTTCTACAAGTTGTATTTGTCATATGAATTAGATGTTTTTAAAGGTATTGAGTAATTGATGTACAATAACCATTGTTCTCAAGGAACACTTTCAACCACTGAGAATTGTCTTCCAGTATGTTGACATCAGAACTTCATTTCTTGTTCAAACGATTTTATTACTTTGAGCTAAGTTCAGATTATTTCATAACACTTTGCGCTTTGAGTAGGACAACTTTTGGGAGATGGGTGATACTGGACCTTGCGGACCCTGCACCGAAATACACTTTGATAGAATCGGGAATCGTGATGCTGCATCATTTGTTAATAATGATGATCCCACTGTGATTGAGATATGGAACCTTGTCTTTATTCAGGTACTATTATCTCCAAAGTTTTTGTTTCTCATTGGAAAGCTTTGTTTAACTCTTGTTTGTCTTTTGTAGTTTAACAGGGAAGCTGATGGTTCTTTGAAACCCCTTCCAGCTAAGCATGTTGATACTGGAATGGGTTTTGAAAGACTAACCTCTATCCTCCAGAACAAGATGAGCAATTATGATACTGACGTGTTCTTACCCATATTTGATGCTATACAAAAGGTAATATGAACATGTTATTTTTTGGAAATTCAATTTTACTGATTTGCAATTCTCTTGAGCCACCCGGCATATACATTTCCTCGTTGCTTTGGGCTAAACTAAAAAAGGACTATTTCAATGATGTCCTTCCATGAATTCACCCATTTAAGTCACGACTGAAGTTATTCTAATTCCTCTGTATTGAGTTTTACTGAAAATATGTTATTTCTCGCGCAAATAGGACTTTTTGTGATTCAGTGTCCCTGAAATCAATACATATTCAAGTAATGGTTTAAAGAAAATTCTAAAAGTTTGTAAAGTCTCTACATATATTTTGGAAATGACGTGTAACCACTTTAAAGTGGCTGATACATTATTTTCTATAGTATTTTACTTTTCATTTACAAAATTAGCTTAAACAGAAATTTTGTATCGAGGTGAATTTTCTGTAAAATAATGGCTACTTGCAAGAGCACTCAACTTCTAGTTAAGAGGTTGGGATTCGATTAATGAAGGGAGCAAAGTGGGGAAGAGCCTCCGTTGACTCTTTGGCTGGTGGTTTTGGAGGGCTGGGGTTTACCAGATTAGAAAAAAAAACTCGTCCTAAACTGACTGGTCCTGAGCCTGAATTGTGTTACTGAAATTTTCGTTTTGCTATACTTATCTATTTTATTCTCCTAAATTGATATTTCAATCTTTTAATAGGCAACTGGAGCTCGTCCGTACTCCGGCAAAGTTGGAGCTGATGATGTGGACAATATTGATATGGCCTATAGAGTTGTTGCTGACCACATTCGAACTCTGTCTTTTGCCATTGCTGATGGTTCTTGCCCAGGTAGATTCTTGTTAGTCTGGTCCATGAGCTAGTGCTTAGGTTTGTTCAAAATCGTTCCTCTCCTGTTTTGGTTGACCCCCCTACATTAGTACTATGTTATGGTGTTAAAAGTTTTGATTACTTGTAAATTTTTTAGGTGTGATAAGATTCATTATATGTATGATCTTATTGGTGTTCGTTTTCTTGTGGAGATTCAAATCTTGTATAATGAATTTGCAGTCATTTTTTGTTATAAGATGGATTGTATTTTTCTCCTAATACTTACACGTTCTGTTATAATGATGTGCATCCATTTTAATCTGAAATTTTGGTTCTATGACTTTCCGTGCTTGGTAGAGAAGCATGGATTCTAGTATTTTCAAGGAGGTTCTGACAGTGTACGACGTTTTAGGCCAAATAGCAGTGTCTGGTTTTTTCTTTGGTAAATCTGATGTTCACATTTCTTGTTTTGCAGGGAATGAAGGCCGTGAATATGTCCTCAGACGCATTCTACGTCGAGCAGTGCGCTATGGTACAGAGGTTCTGAAAGCGCAACAAGGATTTTTCAGTAGGTATGCGAAAGTACTTCAAAATTTGCCGGGCTCATTATATTTTTTTGGTCTACAAAATGGGTTTATTTGATATTTAGCAGTTTTTTGCTATATCCACCTCGGAGCTCAATATATTATTTACACTCTGCTTTATGTTACGGGTAGCCTTGTGAAGGTGGTGGTAGAAGTTATGGGTGATGTCTTCCCAGAGCTGAAGCAACGTGAGGCACATATTAGAGATATCATTGCTGATGAAGAAACTAGCTTTGGAAGGACATTGCTTCATGTAAGCTTCTTTGTAATATAAGAAAGGAATCAAGTCCAGAAATTCTGTAATTTGCATTCTGTATATCAACTGTCCAAAACAGTCATTGAGCCTGTAGATGCTGTCTTCTTATATTGGCGATTCCTTCTTG